CTATAAATGTAGGCTCATAGATCTATTTCCCAGGCTGACTCTTTTACAAAGACTTGGAACACCTTCTAAATCAGATAATATGCGTTGATAATCTTATACCCAGTTAAGGCGCTGTGTTTGCACAGTGGTTAAATGCTCTGCTGCAACTCAAAGGTCAGTGCTTTGGCCTCACTAGCTGCTCCACGAGAGCTTGCCTCCACAATAGGTTATGGTCTTGGAAACCCCCTAGGACAGGGTCACTATGAGTTAGATTTGAGAGCAGCAGGGGTGTGTGCGTATGTCGATATAGTTACAGAAGTGCCAATAACATGGATTTCATTCCACTTCTTGTACAAGACTGCGCTTGCTGTGTGCCACTCGGCTGCCTCTTGGTAAGCACTGGGGGGTGGCTCTGTGTACACAGTGATATAAACCTATGCTGTCAATAATTTGGAATAAAGGGAAATTCAAGTCTCTCCATTAAGTTTAAATACATTGTGGAGCACATTATGCTGAAAGAAGAAATAAGTCAATTTCAAAAAGAAAAATGCTGCATGAGACAGCTCTTATTAAAAAAACAGGAAAAGGTTTACACGTAGGAATGTTGTCTTCTTGCTCTCATTGTCAATCAGGGCTCTAGGACTCAAGGGAGTAATTAGGTATCATCTGTGTGTAATCAAGAAGCATCTACAATGATTATGATGAGAGGGGGCGGGAGGGCAAATTACCGACTAGAAAAAAGACATGTGTTCATAATGGTGAAGGGAAAGGCAGTAGTAATATAGTGGAAGTTAGAACAACATGGCAAAGGCAAAGGAGGATATTGGGAGTAATGCAAGAATAAACAACTACAGCAAAATTATAGTAATTATAGTCAATCCAGAAACAATAGTATTAATGAGTCATCATTTATGAATGGCCACACAGGTATGCTAAATAAGTGTGGGAGGGTGTAAGGGAACACACCCACCTGCAGATAGGTTTGGCTGTAGATATTTCTCCTTAATTGTAGGTGTTGGATGTATATTTGCACAGCAATAGAGCAGCCAAGGGTCACAGTCATGGTAACTTCTTAGACATACCCAAACACCTCGAGGGATCAAGTTTCCCGGCTCAGAGGGGAAAGACCACAGAACTTGGGGACATCTATGTCAATGGGCACAACAAAGCTCATACAATGTTCTGCATCGTACTTTGGTGAGTAGTGTCTGAGGTTTTAAAAGCTTACAAGTGACCACTTAAGAGGGAACTATGGTCCATTCTGTCTGAAGCAAAGAAGAATAAATGAAGAAAGTCAAAGTTGGAAACAAACGAGTAATTAGTCCAAAGGACCAAGGACCATATGAACTGAGACCAGAAGAACTAGATGGCATCCAGCTACCATTACCTTCCACTCTGACAGGGACAGTGCAGGAGAACATTGTGGAACAAAGACTCAAAACGCTCAAAGAAGACCAGACTTACTGGTCTGATACAGAGAAGAAGAACCCTGGAGACCATGGCTCTTCTGACCTGGAATTGAAGCCGGAAGACTACCTTTCAGTCAAATTACTATACAAATACATAAAATAAATAACAGCCAGAAGAAGTGTATTCCTTATTACACATTTTTGCATGAGATCAAAAGACAACCTTTGTCCAAAAGCAAACATGAGAAAGCAGAAAGGGGATGCTAATTAGTATTAAAGGAGATAGGGTGAGGGCTGATATCAAGTGCTGAAGCAGCCAATGCACAAATGCTTATTCCACAAAGTATTGATTAGGAAATGAATTTGCTCTGTAAACTTGCATCTAAAGAACAACTTTAAGAAATTATAATATTAAAAGAAAAAGAAATTATATTATTAACCTTAGTGCCTTTTTCAAAATGAAATGAATAAAACTAGCCTTTATTAAAGTTCTATATAATTGGCAATATGTGACTTATCATCCAGTCAATATGATATATTTGTCTTATCTATTGGTCTAACTTATAAGTAGCCCATCATAATTGGTAGAAGCATTTAGAAGGGACTGCCACCATTCTGTGGGGTTAAGAAATCAATTTAGTGGGTTCTGGTGGAAACAATAAGCAGGCATTAAGTGCAACCTGTGATTTATATACTGGGATGCAATGTGAAAATGTATTTCTCACTGTGGGTGAGGTAAAAAAGTTTGAAATCCACTGAATCAAGAGATTTTTATCTCAAAAGATAGAGTGATTCTAAGTAGTCCCCTCTTTTTATTGAGGCTGCATAGTTAATTTTTCATGTCAGAAAATATCATTGGATCCCATTTTGAAATTGTTATCGTACATGATCACCGAGGCTACTCAACTAGTGAACTGTTCTACGTGGTTATTATGTGAGAAACTGGTGTCCACTGATCTTTGCTGCAGTTGGTACAATATCTACTTATTGGAGACTATTTAGCTTTTGCACACTTCTCTTCAAGCTACTGCTTCCACAACAAAAGAACCTATCCATGCTGTACAAACACAGATTATAACAAAACATCTACAGAGTGCAACATTTCCCTACTGAATAAAAATTAATGTACTTTCATCATCCTTGTTTTATGCTAATACTATATTTATAGACACTATATGTTTGCTTTTAAGGAACTCTGGTGGCAGCGTGGGGCTGCTTAATGAGCTGCGCTGCTATCGATAAGGTCAGCCTTCTGATTTGAATCTACCAGTTGCTCCAAAGAAGAAAGATGAAGATTTCCGTTCCCATAAAAACTCACAGCCTCGGAAACCCGAGGGGAAGTTCTCGTCTCACGGGTCACTAAGAGTAGGAACTGACTTCGCGGCAGTGAGTTTGGTTTATATTGGCTTTTGTCCATTGAGCACCAAGTACTCAAGAACTTCAAAGTCTTAGCTTTTTTTTTTTTTTTTTTCTTTTTTAACATTTTATTAGGGGCTCACACAACTGTTATCCCAATCCATACACACATCAATTGTGTAAAGCGCATTTGTACATCGTTTCTCAAAACATTTTCTCTCCATTTAAACCCCCGACATTAGGTCCTCATTTTCCCCCTCCCTCCCCGCTCTCCCCTCCCGCAGTCTTAGCTTTTTTTAATGAACTATTATGACACATTTTCATGGCTTCAACCTGTTCTACTGTCTTCTTAGTTGGGCCCTAATGTTTTGGAAGCATCCCTAATACTGCTAATATGAAGAGGATTCCGAACTATCCCAGTTTTCCTCAAGACTTAGCACTGGCTACCTTTTCAGGAGTCCTGGTCCCTTAATAACAAGAGATAACTCTAGGCAGTAGGGATGATGGGGGTAAAAGAAACACTGCTAAGTTTTTGTAAGATCTTTTTACTATTTTGAGTTCATGTGAATTTTTTCCCCAATTTAACACACTACATTATTATATCCTCACTAAAAAACAAAAGAATACAATCCCTTATTAACTTTTCAAGACTTTCTTTCTCATCGACAGGAAGCTTTTGTGAACACTATGACTACTTACATCTTGGAAGACGGGCTCCCACTGTTCTCTCGGCCCAATGGCATCTGATCGCCCAACAACAAGTCCATCTGAATTTATACCAAGGTATTTTCCATACCCAGATTTCAGAGCGATTCTTCAGTATAATAAAATAGGCACATGTTAGAAAGAAAGGTCATCACGGAACATAACAACAGTACACACACACTTTCTTTAGAATGAGATTTTTACTTTTGTCAAATACTAATGAAAACAAGGGGAAAAGCTAAAAAGATATGGCTGCTGTGGTTCAAGGTATGTCGATGACTTTTCTTTAGATTTCATGCAGAAATATGAACTGGATGAACAAACAACAGCATCTTTTATCTCTGGCAATAAAATTAACACATGTTTATAATAAAGCGCTAGGAAATTACATTAGCAAGCAACGTATCTTAGTCCTACCACTCAAAGATCATATGTATTTTTTTTCTAGTTTTTTTTTAATGCACACAATGTATATACAAAAAAGAAAAAAATTGAAAAACTGGAATCATCTTACAGTTGCCTTTTCCAATGCAAATGTAATGGGAGCCAAAATACTCTTAAATATTGTAGTAGACATAATTTTAAAAGTAATACTGGATAATATCAATAAAGAAATCTTTTATTTAACCTAATTTATCCAAAAGGTACTGTTGGATAATTGTTGGACTGCTAATTGCAGTTAGTGGTTCAAACATACCAACTGCTCTGTAGGAAAAAGATGAGGCTAATTTGCCTGGGATTTACAGGGCTGCTATGAGTCAGAATTGACTCAATGGCAAGAAAAAGAAATATTTAAAAAATATGATCACAGATAATGATGTATGCTTTACAAATGAAATTTTAGTTATTTTCTAGAGAAATAGTTATTGCAATCTAACTTAATACCATCTAAAAAATTACTGGTTGTCCAAAAGGAGCCTTGGTGATATACTGGCTTAAGCTTTGGGCTGCTAATGCCAAGGTTGGTGGTTTAAACCTACCATCTGTCCTGCAGGAGAAATATGAGGCTGACTGCTCCAATTAGGATTTCTTGTCTCAAAAATTCTTACTACGTCCGTTTGTGTTGGAATTGATTTGATGGCAGTGAGTTTGGTTGATTTTTGGCTATTTCTGAAATGTTACAAAATCCACCTAAAATTGTTTTGCTTTTCAAATCAAAATTCCTCTCCAGGTTTAAGTTATCTAGGTACTGGAATTTTCAAATGAACAAATTACATATACACTAAAAATAAAATGCCATTAATTATTGCGTAATCCCAAGCTTACCTGGAATCAGAAAGTTTGACAGCTGTAAACTGCTCTGGAGGACTAGGGCCCTCATCAACTACAAAAGAAAGCCATTAAAATAAATTTGACAGAGCTATGCCTAAGCTGTAAGAAAGAGGTAACTCCTTTAAAATTACCAGAGCATAACATTGATAAATTAGTTGTGAGTCCGAAGTAAGCATCAAGGTATGTCAAAGTGTTACTCCTTACTACAATTAATTTCAATATGCATCAGGTCACTATGAGTAATAATCCACTTGATGGCACCTAACAACAACTTTAATCTAAGACTATTTCTTTCTTTCTTTTTTTAAAAAATCATTTTATTAGGGGCTCATACAACTCTTATCACAATCCATACATACATCAATTGTGTAAAGCGCATTTGTACATTCATTGCCCTCATCATTCTCAAAACATTTCCTCTCCACTTAAGCTCCTAGTATTAGGTCCTCATTATTCCCCTCCCTCCCCGTTCCCCCTCCCTCATGAGCCCTTGATAATTTATAAATTGTAATTTTGTCATATGGCTGTAATACTACAATATTTAACGTATCAAAGGAGCCCTGCCGGTACATTGGGCTATGCACTGGACTGCTAACCTTGGGGAAAAGGAGGAAGAGTTAGTCTCAGACACTGATAGGGAGAGCTGTACTCTGTTGCTCTGAGTTGGAATCATCTAGATAGCCATGTCTGTTTGTTTTTTAATAATGTTACCAAGATTGACTTTATTAGGACTACTGTTGTCAGCTTTTACCCACGTCAGATGGGCTGGCAAAGTGCTGACTTTGTCCCCTCCAAGAACCCTGGGCTCATCCCGAACAGCTGCGAGGACGCCTGTGCAGGACCGGCAGTGTTCTACTGTGCTGTAATATGGGTCCTTATGAGCGGGGATCAGCTCCACAGCACCGAGCCACACAAGACGGCTCTGTGTTAGAAAATAAGCACTTAATATCCTAAAAACCAAATGCTCTAATTAACTCAAGGGATGGTCATGCTGACAAAATGATGCTTTTTATGTTTCCCGCTGTATTAGTCTAGGTACTTTGGAGAAACAAATCGACAGCAACTCATATATAAGAGAGAGTTTTATGTAAAGAAAAGGTGCATCACGAAAACATCCCAACCCAATGCTGCCCAAGCCCACAAGTCCAACATTAACCCGTTAACCCACCACCAGTCCACAAAGTCCTCCACCTCACAAAACAGAGGCAATCGGGGGTTTAAATGGAGAGAAAATGTTTTGAGAAACGATGTACAAATGCGCTTTACACAATTGATGTGTGTATGGATTGGGATAACAGTTGTATGAGCCCCTAATAAAATGTTAAATAAATAAATAAATAAATAAAGTATTAAAAAACAAAACAAAACAAAAAAAAACAAAAAAAAAACCAAAACAGAGGCCATGATGCCGACTGCAGGAGAAAAGCTGAGTCAGTAAACAAATAAGCAGCTCAGCACTAGCAGGGGTCTCCACACGGTTGCTCCAGCACCCAGGGCTGCATTGGGATAGATCCATGCGGCTTCTCCTTAGGATGTCTTGTAGGAAGTCAATCTTGCAAGCTGAAGCAGGGAACTGCTAAGGCAGCTGCACCCGATGCAACCATCACAAAACAAGAGACCCGAGAACTAGAAAGGCGAGGCTCACTACCCATTTATCCCTCCGCCTTTCAATTAGCCCCACATGTGATTATTGGCCAGGCTGGCACAATTAACTAACTCACCTGCTTCACATTAAGTGCTTTCTATTGGGTTTAAGGGGAGGACAGAATTTCAAATTGGCAACAGTTGAAGAATGAAGAAATTCACACCTTTGACATAACCAGAATTTCTGTAGGTTTTTTTTGCCCCCCCCACTATTTAAATTCTTCATTTATTTCAACAGGTACCTTTTCTGGAATTATACAGACTGTTCTGAAATGCTGATGCTGGCAAGAGGGAAGGGCTAGTACGTGGCTAAGTATTAAGGATAAAAAAGTGAAGTCAAATGAAGTGGTTCCTTTTCTTTGGAATATAAATGGACTTCATAAAGTTCATGGAGATCCTTATCTTTTAATTTTACTTTTCAACAAGTTTTTTGAAGTCACTTTGAGAACTTGACACTAGTTAGAATAAGTCTAAACGAATTCCATAAGCTATAAACTCTGAGTGGTTCTCCCCCTTCCTTGGCTTCCAGCAGACCTACCTTCTCTATGGGGAGCTCCCAGTGTAAACAGACCATTGTCGAGTGCATGTATGTAGGCTCCTTGATCCATCTCAATGGCAATGGTTCCTGAGATTTCACCAAAGTTTGTCACTGTCCACCAGATTCCTAAAAAACAAGATCATATTAAAACTTTACAATGTATATATAACACAAGATTCTCTTGTTATTGCTATAATTACTTTTTAAAATTTATTTTTATGTTGCTGTTTTAAGAAACATAGTAGAAAAATACCATATACCCTCATTCACTTTCTCACAAATGGTAATGCACTACATTATTACAAGATCAAAAACAGGAAATGGGCTTAGTATGATCCATGGACCTTATTCAGATTTCATCAGTTTTATATGCATTCATCTGGTGTATGTATCACATTACTATCACTGCAGTCAAGAATAAGTTCCTTTGAAAACATTTTTTTAAAGTATAAGTAATATACATGACTATATAAAAAGATATACAGAGAACGGTGTCTATATTCCAGGCCCAACCATTTCATTCATACCCACAGTCCAGAAGCAATGACTGATATAACTTGTTTCTTAGGTCTGAGGGTGCTTTCAAAAGTTCATGGAAAATTGAAGTTAAAAGATACATTTTACAAGCCTCAAGACATTAGTCTATCCCTAAAGAATTTAACCATTTCAATGTAGTTTTTGCATTAATTGGAAAAAAAATGGGTGCTCTTTAGATTTTTTAAGACTAGGCAACAAAAAGAAGTGAGAAGGAGCCAAAGCAGGGCTGGATATTTAATGGTTTGCCTTTGTCTGAGGAGAGGAAAGCACTGTCATAATGAAGAAGGGCTCTGATATTTGCCTCAGTGTTTTCCTGTAACTGCCTTGGGCTCACTTTCCAGAACACTCTTAGAATAAGCACATGTTATTGTTCTGTTGCAGCTAGCTTGCCATTTGAAATATGTTTGGTCGCTTGAATACTCCTTCAATAAGCATTGACTGTGGGTCCAAATAAAACAAAATCCTTGACAACTTCAGGCTTTTCTCTGCTTATCATGATCTTGTCAGTCAGTCCAGTTGTGAGGATCTTTGTGTTCTTTTGAGGTGTAATCCACACTGTTAGGACCGCTTTAAAAACTAACATCTTATCCTTATTGCCCCAAACTAGGTCTTGATCAGATACAAGTTAGTATGAGTTTCTTTTGATGTAACAAACATTTGAAGTCCACGGATAGTTTTTTCACATGTGCATTTCCCATGAACTTTTTGAAGACCCCTGCATCTCCCCAGAAAAACTGTATGGTATAATATTAACTATGATTTTAGATTAGAAACAGAATGAACAGAAACTTCTATGCCTATGTATGCTAATATATACTTAGAAACTTAAAACTCTAGGATCTAGTTAATTAAACACATTGAAAAATGTATTTTATTTTAAATTTTTAAAAATCATTTTATTGGGGGCTCATACAACTCTTTTCACAATCCATACATACATCAATTGTGTCAAGCACATTTGTACATTCGTTGCCCTCACCATTCTCAAAAATTTGCTCTCTACTTAAACCCTTGATATCAGCTCCTCATTTCGCCCCCTCCTTCCCCGCTCCCCCCTCCCTCGTGAACCCTCGATAACTTATAAATTATTATTTTGTCATGTCTTATACTGTCCGACGTCTCCCTTCACCCACTTTCTGTTGTCCATCACCCAGGGAAGAGGTTATATGTAGATCCTTATAATCAGTTTCCCCTTTCTAACCCACCTTCCCCTATACCCTCTGGTATCACCACTCTTACCACTGGCCCTGAAGGGATCATCTATCCTGGATTCCTGTGTTTCCAGTTCCTGTCTGTACCAGTGTACATCCTCTGGTCTAGCTGGATTTGTAAGGTAGAATTGGGATCATGATAGAGGCGGGGAGGAAGCATTTAAGAATTAGAGTAAAGTTGTATGTTTCACTGTTGCTACACTGCACGCTGACTGGCTCATCAACTTCCCGCGACTATTCTGTAAGTTGTCCCGTTATCTACAGGTAGGCTTTGGGTCTCCACACTGCACTCACCCTCATTTACAATGATATGATTTTTTGTTCTTTGATGCCTGATACCTGATCCCTTCAACACCTCGTAGTCACACAGGCTGGTGTGCTTTTTCCATGTGGGCTTTGTTGCTTCTGAGCTAAAAGGCCGCTTGTTTATCTTCAAGCCTTTAAGACCCAAGATGCTATATCTTTTCATAGCCAGACACCATCAGCTTTCTTCACTACATTTGCTTATGCACCCATTTGTCTTCAGTGGTCGTGTCGGGAAGGTGTGTATACAAAATGTATTTTAATGGAAGAAAAAAATGTCTCAATTCTTCCTCTAAGTTACACTTTAACTAGTATAAAAATGAGCCAGTCAAGAGTGGCTATTATATAGCATTAAGGAATTCTTGTTAATTTCCTCACATCTGAGAACAATACAGTGTTATTCAGGGGAAAAATGAACAGATGGAGGGAGAGGGCCTGGCCTAAGAAGAGATTGTACATTTATTTATTTATGGATAAATGATAGAATTTCTGTTAAAATTCTCTACGAAAAAGTGTATAAATGAAACAAGACTGGCAAAACATTCACAATTACTATAAGCACATGGGTTATAAAACATGGGGATTCATTATACTTCTCACTTTATTGGTTTGAAATGTCCATAATAAAAATTTTCACAAATGAAGTTAATCACACTTCACACAATTTCCTAATCAGTGAGACAATTTAGTTTTTTCATTACTAATTTGAAAAGAAATGATCAAAATTTCAGTGTTATCTATTACACTACATTATGAAAGGAAATCTAAAAAAATATTTAAGATAAATATACACAGGCAAGAAATTCCTTCTACTATTTAAAACAGCTTATCAAGTCAAATATTTATAAGAGGAACACAACAGATTTCCTCAGTATGAAGTTTTTAAACTAACTCACCAATGATATCAAGCTGTGTTTCTTCATCCTCCTCTCTTTTTCTTTTCTTATCTTTGTTCTTCTTCTTTTTACTATAGGACATAATTTATATACATGAGTTTAAATGTACTGAATTACATGTTAAAAATCAACACATGGAAACTTAGGAGAGTCTTCAGGAGTACAATGATTTGTAATGATTTACATAGATACACCTTTACTTAAAGCAGTGGGAAGCCACCTCTAGCCCTGTACATATGCATAGGGTTTGGAACCAGATGGCCTGGTTTTGATTAGGTCCCTTCTTTGCTATGTGGGTTTTGGAAAGTTACTCAACCTCTTTGTGACTCAAGTTTCCCTACCTATAAAATGGGGTTAGTAATATAACATACCTCCTAAAGTTATTGTGAAGATAAAGAGTTAATTCTTACCTGCCTATATTGTTGGGGGGAATGTTAAATGTTTAAGCTGCTTCGAAAAAAGTCTGGGGTCCCCCCCGCCAGCCCCACCAAATTAAACACAGCTACCAGATAACCAAATATGCTATATACTCAAAGAGAAATGAAAACAGGGAGCTGCCAGAAATTGGTAGTGGATTCAGAAAAGGATGTGGAATGAGGGATTTTATTGCTGATGTCAGAAATTATCTAGGAAATTTAGCTGAAAGAAGAGAATATCAGAAAGATGTTTGCCTGTATTCTACTGACCATGAAAAGGCATTCAAGTAGATCCTGGACAAAATAATGGAAATTTCAGAACATGTACACTTAACTGTGCTCATGAAGAACATGTACATGAACCCAGAGGCAGTCATTCAAATACAACAAGGGAATACTGTAATACTCATGTATAAGCTGAGTTTTTCAGCACATTTTAAATGCAGTTTATGTGGTAAAATTAGGTGCCTCGCTGATATTTGGGTTGGCTTATAGTCGAGCACATATGGTACTCCATGGTTTTAAATCAGGAAAGTTATGCATCAGGATTGTCTTCTTTCACTATAATTTATTCAATCTGTATGATGAGCACATAATTTGTAAAACTAGATCATATAAAGAAGATGGCAGAACCTTGCTTGTAGAAAGCAAATAAAGCGTGAAGTATTTATTGATAAAAATCAAACACTATAGCCCTCATTATGGGCTACAAAGATCTTCACAATTGCACCAGTAAGCAACATCACGATAAATGGGAGAAAAACTGAAGTTGTCAAGGATTTCATTTTACTTGAATCTGCAATTAAGGCTCACGGAAGCAACAAACGGTATACTGCACCGGGCAAATGTGCTGCACAAGACCTACTCAGTGCCCAAGAGCAGAGATGTCACGTTGAGGAGTAAGGTGCACCCTACCCAAGCCGTGGTCATTTTTCAACCGCCTCATATGCATGTGAAAGCTGGACACGGATAAGGAGGCTGGAGAGAATGAACCCCTTTGCAGTATGCTCCTGGCAAAGGCTTGTCAATATACTTTGGACTTCCCGAACGAAAATCCAATCTGCCTTGGAAGAGAGAGAGCCCGGATGACAAAAAATAAGGAAGGTGCTTCCTTTTCAAGCATTCTGGACATGTCATCGGGCGAGACCAGTCTGAAACTGAGGGTCAATGAGATAGAACAAGGCCCTCAAACAGATGAATTGACAGTGGTTGCAACGACACAGAACAAGGTAATTAACGAAGGCACAGGATAGGGCAGTGTAAGGTTCCATTCTGTTGTGCAATGGTTCCACTATGAATTAGAACCCACTCACTGGCACCTAAACACAAAACTTCCTGTACATCGAGGATCTCATTTCATCTTCATAATCATCCTATTTAAAGAGTCTCACGATTCTCCTCTTGAATGAGTAAACGGGGTCTACAAGATATTAACCAATCGTGCCCACACCACATTATGAATTGTTCGGGTCCAGATTCCTACCGTATGATTCTTACTATTTCCCGACCAAAGCACAAATCCTTAACCACTAGGTGATTCAGTCAAGTTCCAATTCCCCGACTACATTTTTTCTTTAAAAATAGGTACGATTGTTTTCTAGGGGAGAGGGGAGCCATGGCGGAAATATTTAAACCTAAACCAGGAAGACAGCGTTAGGCGTAGTAATCAGACAATGCGGCCCCTCGATCCGGGTCTCCGCGGCCGGTCCCCGCTGCTCTCCTGGGAGCAGCGGACCTCCCCCGGCGTCCGTCCGTACGTCCGGCCGGCCGGCCCCGAGGCAGGCCCGGGGGCGGGGCGCCCCAGAGCCCGCTGGGATGTCCAGGGAACGCCCGGGCAGGTCAGACGTGGACCGGAGGGTCTTTCGCACGAGCTTCCAGGCTCACCTCTTAGCCTTCGTTCCCTTGAGGACGAGTTTGGTGGACTTCACGTAAGAGTATTCGGCCATGGGGTGGGTAAAACTCTAAAAGCGGCTGTGAGAAGCGGTTCAGGGCAGAGTCCCTCGCCTGGAGCTGAGAGGAGCGAGGAAAGCGTAAACGTGGAGCCAGAACCGATTCCCTCAAGCTGACACTACCGCCGAGGCGAGTTCTTCTCTCGGAGAATCCGTCCTCGCTCTCTCCAGTCCCTTCAAAGTCTCAGAGAAGACGCTCCACTTCCTGTTTACTTGCTACGGGCTACGGCAAGCGCCGAGGGTCCAAATGCATCCGCGCTCGGAGACCCGGCGCGCCCTCTGGTGGACGCGTGGACCTCATCGTCAGGGTCTGCATCCTAAGCCCCTGGAGGCAGCCTCTGGCAAAGCCTCGGGAGTCGGGTTGTGACTCACTGTGAGCCGGTGTCCAACAGAAGGAAGCACCGCCTGCACCCTCCTCACAACTGGCCTTAGGTATGAGCCTCCTGTTTCAGCCACTGTGCCAATCCATCTCCTTGTGGGCCTCCCCTTTCTCCACTGCCCCTGTGCTTCACCAAGCAGGATTCCCTTCTCCAGGGGCTGGTCTTGACTGAGGACAAGTCTAAAGTATGGGATGCAAGTCTCGCCTGCCTTGCTGCTCGGGAGCATTCTGGCTGCACTTCCAAGACACTTTCGACTGCTCTTTCGGTAGTCCATGGAACTTGCAAGACTCTTTTCCAGCATCACAATCCAAATGCATCGATTCTCCTTCGGACTTCCTTATTCAACGGACAACTGTCATATCAAAGGAAGCAATGGACAATACCGTGGCTCGGCTCAGGCGCACCTTGGTCCTCAAAGTAACCCCCTGGCTTTTCAAGTCTTTGCAGCAGATTCACCCGGAACTACGGTTGATCTCTTGACTGCTGCTTCTTTAGCATTGATTGTGGGTCCAAGCAAGATAAAATCCTTGACAACGTCAATCTTTTCTCGGTCTATCACCTATTGGCTCAGTTGTAAGGATTTCAGTTTTCTTTACAATGCGTGGTCATCCATACTGAATGCTTCAGGCTTTGATCTTCCGGAGTGAGAGGATGGTGGAGCCATGCAGCCCTCTGTGTCTCTTCACCTGAGTATTGGCCCCGTGTGTGGGCGGCTGGGAAGGTAGGCCTTTGGATACTTAAAACTTTTCAATTTAATAGTTTTTTTTTTTTAACGTAGGGAAACGTGACGATGCACAGGAAACAATTGGGGAATATTTAAAATGTAATTAATATCGATTTGGGGCTGCAGATTTCACAGGTGCTTTGGAAAATAGGAGGATCTGCTGTTGCATAGTAGATCATGTTCAGTTAGCGGAAAGGTCAAACATTCGAAATCACCAGCTACTCCTCTGGGAGAAAGACCATGCTTTCTACCCCTGTGAAGAGTTCGTCTTGGAACCCGTAGGGGAAGTTCTACCTTGTCATAGAGGGTCACTGTGAATTGGAATGGGCTCCACGGCCAATTATTTGGTTTGGTTTTGCTGGGCAAATTGGTGGAGGTTGTCTTAGAGGAGAAGAGTAAGACTCAGAAATTAACCCTGGAGGCACTGAAGATTAGATGTTGAGCTATTAATTGCAGGATTGGGAATTCAAACCCATCAACTGCTTCCAAGGGCAATGATGAGGCTGTCTGGTCCCAGAGAGATTTGTGGTCTCGGAAACGCTCTATTGTGTCTGTGGGAGTTGGAATGACTCGGTGTCCGTGGGTTGGTGCACTCAGAGACTCACAGAGGGTGGCCTCTGGAGGCGCTTCCATGACGGCAGGCGCTTGAGTATTTCTTCTACCTGCTCCAGCCTCTCTGACAATTTTATAATGTGTCTTCCCCATCCGATTTCCTCCATGTTCTAATCAATCTTGTCCAATGAGTAATCTTTCTGAAAATAAAGATCTGATCAATACTTCCCTTGCTATAAGCAGCCCATTACTTTCCACGAGGGGAAAAAAAAGTGTTACTAAAAAAAAAAGTGTTACTTTGTAAACTATTGATGCTCTGCCCTCTTTTCCTGCTACTTAACTCTTGCTGCCTTTGTTCCAGTAGTGTTAAAGAATAGGAAATCTTTGCCACTTGATGCTTGCAACGCAGCCTCTTCTTGACTCTCTTTTAACCTTGAAGACAAAAGCAGGCATGGTGTCTTCCATACAACCATACCTGGTTCTTTTTCTAATCATTTTATTAGGGGCTCATACAACTCATCACAATCCATACATATATCAATTGTGTAAAGCACATTTGTACATTCATTGCCCTCGTCATTCTCAAAACATTTGCTCTCCACTTAAGCCCCCAGCATCAGGTCCTCATTTTTCCCCTCCCTCCCTGCTCCCTCCTCCCTCATGAGCCCTTGATAATTTTTAAAATTATTATTTTGTCATATCTTGCCCTGTCCGACGTCTCCCTTCACCCACTTTTCTGTTGTCCATCCCCCAGGGAAGAGGTCACATATAGTTCCTTGTAATCGGTTCCCTCTTTCCTACCCACTCTCCCTCTACCCTCCCAGCATCGCCACTCACACCACTGGTCCTGAAGGGCTCATCCGCCCTGGATTCCCTGTTTCCAGTTCCTATCTGTACCAGTGTACATCCTCTGGTCTAGACAGACTTGCAAGGTAGAATTCGGATCATGATAGTGGGGGGCGGGGGGAGGAAGCATTTAGGAACCAGAGGAAAGTTGTATTTTTCATCGTTGCTACATCATGCCCTGACTGGCTCGTCTGCTCCCTGAGATGCCTCTGCAAGGGGATCTCCAGTGGTCTACTAATGGGGTTTGGGGCTCCACTTCGCAGTCCCCCCATCATTCACTATGGTAAGATTTTTTGTTCTGATGATGCCTTATACCTGATCCCTTCGACACCTCGTGATTGCATAGGCTGGTGTGCTTCTTCCATCTTTTTCTAATCTTTCAGGCAAACTCGGTGATCCTTTCTTCCATACAATCACCATCCGTCACCTCCTGTGTACCCTTGCTACGATTCCCATAGCATCTCATGCAGCGCTTCTCATACTATGACACAATTGTGAGCATTTCAAGGGCTAGGCATGGGGTTTATTTTTTCCTTATGTTTTATCTATATCCTCCCCAGTGCCTGTTTTAGTAGAGCGTGCGAACCAAGCCACACCCTTTGTTTCCTTGGGGGCATTTTAAAGACTCTACCTTTGTCTTGGATGCGACTTAAGACACCATCCTTTGTTTTCTTTGGATGGGGTAGATAGACAGGTACCACTGTACATGTCTCACATACAACACAGCTCCTGGAAAGCCGTCTCTGTATTTCCTGCCTGAGCTTTGGGAGAAGTGAGACCAGCTGAGCCTTTTGGACATTTTGAGCTTCTCATTCTAGAACCTGCCTTTGACTGGCCTCTGACTGACCTACGGATTTGGGGCTGAACTGCACTTACCACCAAGGGAGACACTTCCTTGAAGTTTTGTGGGTTCCTGTGGGATCTTGCAGCACGTCACAGAACCCAGGGATGTGAGGGAATCTATTCAAGGGTGGAGTCAGGGGACAAGGGGGCAGAATAGCATCCTGGAAGAGTTGGACATTTGGGACATCTTTAATCGCCAGCTCCTTGGGAATGGTCTGGTATGAATGTTTCTAAATGAAATGATGACCACAAGCCTGCAGCCAGAAGAGAAGAGAATGGGTTGACTAGAGAGGAGGGAGGGTGGTGGGCTGTGGGTGGGGGGTAGACTGGGAAACAGCATGTTTTGGGGGTCCTTAGAAGCCAGTCCTTTCGACGTGTATTTATCAGCCATCTCTGTGCTTGGTGTCCAAGGGAACATGCCATGTGTGTCACACTTACAGCCTGGGCTAAGGTCCTGCAACTAACAACAAGCAAGAAGACAGGATGGCGTACATGGCAGAGTGTCGTTTCTGGAGCCAGCCTGCTTGGGAGAACGAATTTGACTATTTAGAACAGTGGTCCTCAACCTTCCTAATGCTGCAACCCTTTAATACAGTTCCTCAGGTTATAGTGATTCCCCAACCACAAAATTATTTTTGTTGCTACTTCATAACTGTAATTTTGCTACTGTCATGAATTGGACGACCCCTATGAAAGAGGTTGTTCAACCCCCCAATGGGGTCGTGACCCACAGGTTGAGAACTGCTGATGGAGAAGCTGAATTATTTGGGGCAAGTTATTTAACCTTCTACTCCATTCCTGTTGAGTAGGTTCTAACTCCTAGTGACCTGGTAGAACTGTCCCGAGACTGTTTGCAGAAAGCGTCTACCACATCTTCCTCCCTTGGAAGGGCTAATGGGTTTGAACTGCTGCTCTTTTGGTTAGCATTCAAGGGCTTGCCACTGTGCCACCAGAATCCCTACTTAACATCCACATCTAAATCCCTTCAGCTATAGAATGGGGTGAGACCCCCTAGGGGTATGATAAAAATGAAAGGAATTAATTTAGAAAGACATTTTTAAAAGTCCTTGGTGAGTAGTAAATGTATCACAAATGTTAGCTTTTATAATTAGATTCAAAATGCCATGAGAAATGTTCAAATAAAGTATTAGAGTACTAGAGTAGTGTATGATGAAGGCACGCGGTAAGTTCAAATATCTTGTTCTAGGCATCAGGCAAAGCTTAGCGGTTGAGGAGCACGGGCCGATCTGGACTCTTGGATGTAGGATGCTGATGGAAGGGGACTGCGTAGGTGGCACCCCCGGCAATGGAGGGGAAAAGGCACGACACATGGCGGAAACCGTTGAAGTAGAAGCACGGAGACAGGAGCGTTCAGGGTGTCTAGAAGAAGCTGTGAGTCACTTGGTTGCAACATGTGGTGTAGACTAGGGTCAGGAACCACGACTGAGCAGGGAAGCTGGGCACCTGTTGTCATTGATGAATTTTGCATAAAATCAGTAAGCATGAAATTTTGCATGAAATCAGTAAGCAAGTCGCAGCAGTCATGAACTTATTTTGCATTAAGAAAATCTGTAGGATACTGTAGAGACCGGCTCTTATCCTACAAATGGAACGGGTTTGAGAGGGTACGATCTGCCCGGAGAAAACGTAACAAAAGGGATAGCCAAAAGTTGAGGCACAAGGGTTGCATTAGTCTAGGTACTTTGGAGAAACAAATCCACAGCAACCCATGTATAAGAGAGTTTTATGTAAAGAAAGTGTGCATCATGAAAACATCCCAACCCAATGCTGCCCAAGCCCACAAGTCCAACATTAACCCATTAACC